ACACTTACACTGTGTGCCATGATAATATCAGGGTGCTTAGCACATCCATCATCTCAAACATTTGTACCTCGTTGCGTTGGGAACATTCCACGTCCTCTCGACTAGCTACTTGAAGTTATACAGTAATTTGTGGTTGGCTGCGGTCTCCCCCTATTGCTACAGAACACGAGATCCTGTTCTTCCTATCTCTCTATGATTTTGTATCCATTGACCACCCTCTCCCCATCCTATCCCCTTCCCTGACTAGTCTCTGATAACCACTATCTACTCACTACTTCTATGAGATCAACGTTTTTAGTTTCCACATCTGAGTGAGAACATGTGGCATTTCTTTTTCTGTGCTTGGCTTATTTCATTAACATAATTTTCTCCAAGCTCATCCATGTTGTTGCAAATGTCAGGATTTCACTCTTTTTTATGGCTGACTAGTATTCCATTGTGTATCTATACCACATTTTCCGTATGCAGTCATCTGCTGCTGGACATGTTGGCTGGTGGAACCAGTATCGGCAGGCACACCCTTCTCCGTCCTGAGCCTGGGTTCTTAGCTGGTGTATTATCATGCCCTTCATGCCCTCTTGGTGCTTTCCCAATAACCAATGAGAGATTGACCCCAGAGAACTTGGTTTCTTTTGATTTCAAGGTCTTTCCATTTCCAGCCTCTTCTTCCTCCTGTCTAATGGTTCTAAGTCATCTTCACCCTTGCTGGTGAACTTGCAGTGATACTTGCCAACATGCCATCTGGATTTTCCCAGCTCCTCCTTCAGATGAGTAGATCTGTTGGAAGCATGTTATTATCTCTTCTACCGCTGTCTTGCTACTTGACTAAACTTTTCTATTTGCTAACTCTCTGATCACTTCCAAAATTCCTGCCCTCATTAAGTTCAAATAATAGAAGAATCAGTTCTGCTCTGTGGTTCCTGTTAAGGTTACACCTAAATTGTCTTTGAAAAATAATTGTCTGTTCTGTTGAAGGAAATGTTTAAACTTCCTTTGACTTTAGTGTCTCATAAACCTTTAGCAGAAGAAAGTTTACTCTTAAGTACAAATGATTGTGGCCATTTAGACCTCATTTCTTTTTTTATTCTGCTAATTGGAGATGGGAAATTGCTGGACAAGCTACTCCATGGTATCAACTTGAGTAGATTTAAAAAGATAATCAGGTGTTTGCAGTAGTTTTAAGCTTAGCTTTTTTTAAAAAAATACTTTTTCTTTATTTTATTTTATTTTTATTGTAACACAGTTGGTTGTACATATCTGTGGGGTACAGAGTTGAATATCAATACTTGTGTACAATATGTGATGCTCAAATCAGGATAATTAGCATGTTCAACATTATACAATGTAATTGTTTTTCATGGCCCTTTAACCATTTTCTCCTTTATCCCCTCCCCTACCCCTTTCCCACCTCTGGTAACCTCAGTTCTGTTTGCTCCTGTTGAAAGTTCAATGTATTATTGTGATTGGTGGATCTTTCTTTCTTTTTTTAATTTGTTTATTTCTTAGTTCCCACTTATGAGTGAGAACGTGGTATTTCACTTTCTGTGCCTGGCTTATTTCACTTAACGTAATTTTTTCTAAGTTCATCCATATTGCTGCGAATGGCAGTATTTCATTCTTTTTTATGGCAGAGTAGTATTCCATTGTGTATATATACCACATTTTCCTTATCCAGTCATCCAAGGATGGGCATTTAGGTTGGTTCCATATCTTGGCTATTGTAAATAAAGCTGTGATAAACATGGGGTGCAGGTGTCCCTTCGACATGATGATTCTCATTCCTTTGGGTATATCCCCAGCAGTGGGATAGCTGGGTCATATAGTAGATCTATCTGTAGTTGTTTGAGGAACCTCCATACCATTTTCCATAATGGCTGCACCAATTTACAGTCCAACCAACAGTATAGGAGGGTTCTCCTTTCTCCACATCTTGCCAGCAGTTGCCATTCTCTGTCTTTTTGATATTAGCCAGTCTAACTGGGGTTAGATGGTATTTCAGTGTGGTTTTGATTTACATATCCCTGATGCCAAGTGATGTTGAGCATTTTTTCATGTGTCTGTTGGCCATTTGTATATCTTCCTTTGAGAAATGCCTATTCAGCACCTTTGCCCGTTTTTTAATTTGTTTAGTTGTTTTTTTACTAAGTTGTTTGAGTTCCTTGTGTATTCTGGATATTAATACTATGTCAGATGCATAGTTTGATAATATTTTCTCCCACTCTTCAGGTGTCTTTTCATTCTGCTTATTGTTTCTTTTGCTGTGCAGAAGCTTTTTAGTTT